AACGTAAAAATAATGAAATCATGTACTTGTGAATATCGGATCAATTTGATTTTTTATTTTTATAAATGATCTCCACAATGATTTACAAAATGAGCAATTGAGATCGTTGGAGTCCAATCTGTGTCGAGTCTATGGGTCCCAACAGTCTATATTCACTATATGTGAACAAGAAATAATCAAATTTTCAATATTAATGAGATTCAGTACATGAGACTTCTTTTAAAATCAGAATTTAGTGAATATATCGTGGCTTCCATTTCTAAAGAGATTTTTCGTAATTTGAACGAGGGCTACAAGAAGCATTAATGACAAGTCTTGGATAAAAAGTTTGAGGCATACACTGATGGAGCATGATGCCAAAATCCCATACTCATTGCTGCACGATACGACTTCTCTTTTTATCTGATGTCATCCATTCTTGGTGGCATATAGGTTGGGGATAAGTTAAATGCCACTAAAAAGAAAGATTGGTGAATCATAAATTCATCCTTATCATAATTGAATCCCAAGCATATGGTTGTCCCCATTTGATCCCATTCTCATGACAATGCTATGTGCATCTAACAGTCCCTCACTAGGAAAGTGAAAGATACTATACTTACATCAACCCCTTTATACCTCTATATGATGGCATTTACCATTTGAGCCCTTTGTTCTTTAATTTTTATTCAGTCATCATTCCTCTATTACATGAATTGGAGCCATTCAAAATAGACATCTATATATGATGATCGTACCATTACCAGGAATCCATCTTACAGTCTTCTTGACCACATAAGAGTTTTAACAATCTCAATACTACTCATTATATTAGATTCAAATCTTCTTGGTATTATATTTGCTCTAACTTGATATGTATGATTTGCAAGTAATTATACATATTTAGGAGTGATTTGAGATGATCTAAATAAGTATACTTTTTGACTTTTTATGAAATATGGGTTGAATATGGATTGGATTTGAAGTGATGTGATAAAGAGACTTAAATAAGATGATGTGACTTAAACAGAATAGTGATTTTTTTAACTTTTTTAAGTTATGACAAACAATGCCTTAAAATTATATTATATGAATGGGTTCTATGTCTCCTTACTTTAAAGAGATTCCTCATTAACTAAAAAATGCCATGACAAGAATGATAAAAAAATGAGCAGGTTAATAATATGTAAGAATTTTGTACCTTCCTCATTTGGTTGGCCACCGGACCATAATTTTCTTCTATTTTCTTGACACTCCGTTGGGATTGAGTGACTAAAAGGGAAAGTGAAGTATTTGAATGCGAAGAGATACATAAATATATATGTTCTTGACTTTTTTTTTTAAATGTTAAAAATAATTTTTAGGGTGGTTGTTAGTTTTGAACAATGTGCAAAAAAATATATAAGAATATACAAAAATTTTAGAATATATAAAATGTGTATTGTGATTATAAATATTTTACCATAATATACTTCTTATTCACAACTATTAAAATTATAATTTGCATGCCTTCTTTTTTTTAAAAAAAAAAATATATATATATATTTTAAAGACAAACTAGAGTATTTTTAGTAAACAAAAGAGAATCACTTGAATTTTTTTTTTTTTTTTGGGATAAAAAGAAGAGTGCAAATAATATATATATTTAAAAAGAAAAAAGAAAAAGAAAAAAAAGGGAGTAATGAGAGCTTCTGGTTGAACAATTAGGATGATTAAGACAAGTCTTGAAAGCCTATGGTTGGGCCACCAAAGGCTACAATGGTGGTGGAAAGCTTCACTTGGGTTTGCTGGGTATTCCCATTTGGGAGATGAGGGCTAAGCCTTCTTGGATTGTTTGGCAGTCAATTCTATTAGTTTAATCCTTAAATCTATACATAAACTAATACACTAATGGTGTGTTTGGTTGGGAAATTTGGGAAGGAAATTGGAAAGGGAAAGGGAAAAGGTATGTGAAACTATGTGAAATATATACATATTTTATTCACATTTCACTTACCTTTTCCATTTCTCTTTTCAAATCCCTCTCCAAATCCCCCAACCAAACACAACATAATTGATTGTTAAGATTCTTGAAATGTGAAATGTGAAGATTAAGTCTAAGATGGGAAACCAAGCACAATCTTTCACATGTGTCATGTGCCATGTGTCTTAAAGATTATTTAATTAAAATTTTAAAGTCTTGAGAGTTTAATTCAAAAAAATATTTTGTTGAAAGATCGTGCTTGTGATGTGAGTCAAGTTAGGTTAGGGACTCCTAACTAGCCTAACAAGTTCCTAAATTAATGTAATTAAGTACAATTTCATTTAAATATATTCCCTAAGCACAATCTTCACATTAATCCATGCACAAATACATGCTCTATAGCAAATCCAATGACAATGACTATTAGGGGTGGGCGCGGGTCGGTTGCGGCCACGGAACCTCCAATCCGCCATCCGTCCGCCAGATCAAAATGCGGCGGATCGGTTTGGTTCGATCGGTTTTGGCAGATCGGTATATCCGCTGCTCACCCCTAATGACTATAGACATTGGTCCAGAATAGAACAAAAGAACCTCAATTTTTCTCATTAAACAAACACATTGTTGTAATGGACATTAGCGGGTGAAGGTTTTGAGGGGATATCAAACAATCTAAAAAAATTAAAGTTTAATAAGTTAAAATAATTTTATTAAATTAATAATTAAACCCCCAACAATCTACATTGGAGAAATAGTCCTACACATGCAAAAATTCTATGTATTGAAATCAATGAAGATAATAAGGGTATGTTTGGTTTGTGTTTGAGAGATGTGTTTTAGAGATAAAAAGTACGAAAACATGTTTGGTTTGGTTTTTTTTAAAAGATGTTTTGGAAAATTATTTTGAGATAGAGTTTTGGAAAAAGTGATTGATTTGATGTGTGTGAGAGAGAGATTTGTTTGGAAAACTTGTTTGGTTTACAAGTTTTGGGAAATTTTTTTGAGAAAATTTGTTTGGTTTGGTTATTTTTAAAAACTTATTTGTAGAGAAAATTTTCCAAATTTTTTTCAGAAAATCAAACCAAACGAGCCCTAAATGTCTAATATCACTTCATCACCATTAATATTTGATATCACTATTTTATATTAAAATACTTAATGAGATGAATAAATCTCATCATATATATGAAAAATTAATATGGAATTCATTTAATCACATTCACATAATGAAATTCATTAGTTTTATTTTGGCTATGTTTTGGCATAGGTTTTTTTTTTGGCTATTTTAGCCATAAAAAAACAATGAAATCAATGAAGATAATAAATGTCTAATATCACTTCCTCACCATTAATATTTGATATCACTATTTCATATTAAAATACTTAATGAGATGAATAAATCTCATCATATATATGAAAAATTAATATGGAATTCATTTAATCACATTCACATAATGAAATTCATTAGTTTTATTTTGGCTATGTTTTGGCATAGGTTTTTTTTTTTTGGCTATTTTAGCCATAAAAAAACAAAATAGACTAAAAAGTCAATAAGATAAAATGTCACATCCAAATCATAATTATTTCATTTTTTCTCTCACAAAAGTCAAAAAACTCAAAAAATCCGTCCCAAATAAGATTTTTTAATCCCAAACTAAAATAACTAAAAAGTCAAAAAACTATCCATATCCCAAACGAAAGCTTGTTTTTATTAGTAAATAGTTATACCACGTAGGTACTAATAATGATGTGAGATTGCTAATAATTTTTCCAAGAACAAAAGTTTCCTACAAAACATTATTGTGTAAAAGTTAAGACTAAAATACTTTTAATTTATATTTTTTAATTATCAATTTTTATCTTACAAAATATTTATATCAAATAAGCTATTTATTATTCTACAAATTTAAAATTCAAACACAAGTTTCTTAAAACAAAATTTCAAACTATATCTTTTCTATTTTTGTCAAATTTAGGGATTGTTTGGCATGTGTTAAAGTAAAACATCTTATTTATTTATTTGGGTCACATCATCTCTTTATCATATTATATATTTTTTCATAAAAAGTTAAAAAAAATATATTTAATTAGATCATCCAAACAATCCCTAAAGAATAAAAAATAAAGAAAAATAAACAAATTCTCAACAGATTTCCTTCATCTATTTTTTTTTTTTAAATTCAATTATATATACCCCTTGAAAAGATATACCATATGCACATTCAATTATATTATTTTTTTTTTAGTTATGATCAATTTTTTTTCTTTAATTATAATTCTTGAAATCTAAAATCTATAATTGTACCTCATGACTGATATCCTTTTTTATAATTATGAATTAAAAAATATAAAATTATACTATTTTTTTCCCATAATCTTTCCCTTTTTTTTTTCTTCTTCTTCTTATACTCAGCTTTTCCCAATTCTTTTATATAACTGCTTTTAATGGGAAGATGGGGGTGTTGTCTTGGATTTCAGATCAACCTAGTTTGCTGACCTCGGGCAGAATTTTAGAGAGAGAAAGCCTAGTGAGAGAAAGAACCAGGGGGCCCGGGCAGCTTTGAGTGTTGTTGGGTAGCTAAAATATTGCTTGCCCAGCATTCGATTTGGGGTAAAAAGCAGAGAGAAGAGAGCTCTCTTGCACTTTTTTTATTTATTTATTTATTTTTTTTATAGGAAAATTTTTCTTATCTTCTCGCAGGTGCAAGGTAGCGCCTCTTGCAGAGATCACCTACCAAGGTGTCCTATTAGCCGTTCCGAGTGAGGAGACTATAACCTGAGAACTTGTCCTGACCTCCCAAAATAAGCTCTCAGATAAGCTCCGCTTAAGTCAAAATCTGCACAGCGGAGGAGTATTGAATCTATACCAAGTACTGATTAGACAACTTGAAACCTAACCTTCTAATAACTGTACTTCATCCAAGAAATTGATCCAAAAAAAAAAATTAATCCTATAAACTTAGAGTTTAAATTCCAAATCTTAACCACAATATCGCCCATTCTTGGGTTACTCTCTTGCACTTTATTCTCTCCAAATTCGATATTTTTGCTGTGTACTCACAACGAGGTTTAAGAAGAGAGAAAACAACCCCCACTCTCACTCACTCTCTCTCTCTCTCTCTCTCTCTCTCTCATCTTTTATGTCTCCTACATAATTACATTGTCTTGTTCTAACATCAGAATCTCATAGTATTACTTCCACGCATCAGTGTTGTGTTGTGTCCCTCCCTCCCTCTCTGTTTTTTTTTTTTTTTTGAAATATTTTTCTCTGTTTTCTTTCTCTTTCCTCTGTTTTCTCTTTGACTAAACATAAAAGAGAAAGCCAAAAGAAAATAGCCCAACAGGGTTCTTTCGATTTGACCTCGTGTTTGCTTACCCAGAAACCTAAATACCAAGAAACTGGGATTTCCTCTTCCCATCAATCGTTTTCTCTTTTATTATCTTCAGAAAACAGAGCACTCCATTCTATTCTCTCTTTCTTACTAGCGATTTCAGAGCGTTCTTTTCTTCGTTCTTGGCTTTTTCAATACAATTTTTCTGTGAATCGGTGATATATCTACATGAAGTTGTGAAACAATGATAGATGGGAACTCCAAGAAAAGCAAGGTTTGTTTGGCAAATGAGAAATTCTGAATTACCCTTCATTGTTCTCTCTCTCTCTCTCTCTCTCTCTCTATTGTCGTATATATAAAAAGATTGCTGACATTTGTGGTGTTGATGAAGCTTTCATGGCCCAAGACCCTGGTCAAGAAATGGTTCAATATCAAGAGCAAGTCAGAAGATTTCCATGCAGACGACGTCGTTCAGCAAGGTTTCTGCTTGCCTACAATCCCAATCTAATTTAGGGTTCTGAAATCTTTGGGAGCTTTTATCTTAAAAAAAATAAAAAAGGGATTGTCATTCAATAGCTTCTTCACTGTTATTCGGCGTCAATGACTGTTAGTATAGTGCCAAAATATTTGGATTTTAATGGGTTATCTTCTGTTCTGCCCCTTCTATTTGTAGCTCAAGATCTGTTTTTGTTTTCTTCTTCTTTCTGAAATTCTAAAGATTTGAGTGTTTTTGCTTTCAAATAGATAAAATTTTGTTGTTTTCTGTTTTGAATATTTGCAATTGATGCAGAGTAACAGTGGAAAGCTAACAGCTTTAACAACTTTATTTTGTTTTTGTTTTTTCTTTTTCAGGTGGTGATGAAGAATGGAGTAACTACTCAGAGAGGGAGGCATGCAATATCAAGAAAAGCAAAACAGGTTCAGCATCAGACAATCAGTATTGCTCTGGACCACAACCACCCTTCAACCCCACTAAATTTTACCTAAATTACATTTCAAAATTTTTTAAAAATAAATCAAAAAAATTGTCTTTCTTTACATTTTTAACTTGTTTAATTCACTCTGTTCCCATCAACAGAGAGATCAAGTAGGAGGAGCTCTGATCGTGTCCGGCGAAGTAAGATTGATCTAGAGGCCTCCCAAGCAACAGATGTGCATAACTATAGGTGTGTTGTGTTATATTCTTATTCATTTTATTGGATTTTTACTTGGTTTTGTGAAAATAGTTTGTTTTTTGATTTGTGAAAATAGGATATTTGTAGCTACATGGAATGTGGCTGGAAAATCTCCTCCTAGTTATTTGAATCTTGAAGATTGGCTTCATGCTTCTCCTCCTGCTGACATTTATGTTCTTGGGTGAGTTTCATCAATCAAAAATTCATTTTGCTTTATCTTTATCTTTGGCTTTTGTTTGGACTATGATATGATATTTAATTGATTTGTTTTCAACTAGGTTTCAAGAAATTGTTCCTTTAAATGCTGGTAATGTTTTGGGTACAGAAGACAATGGCCCTGCTAGAAAATGGCTAGCATTAATCCGAAAGACTCTGAACAGTCTTCCCGGCACAAGTGGTGGTTGCCACACACCTTCCCCAATTCCTGATCCAATTGTAGAACTTGATGCAGATTTTGAGGGATCAACAAGACAAAAGGCCTCATCTTTCTTTCATCGTCGCTCGTTTCAGTCATTGAGTCGAAGCATGAGAATGGCGGACAATGACATGTCAATGCCACAACCTAGACTTGACCGGAGATTCAGTGTTTGTGATCGTGTTATCTTTGGGCATAGGCCGAGTGATTATGACCCGAATTTCAGATGGGGTTTATCCGATGATGAGAATGAGACTGGAGATTATTCTCCGTGTGCCACACATTACTCGCCAATGTCTTACAACGGGTCTATTTCAATGGAGGATAGAGAGAGACAAATGGGGCAATCAAGGTACTGTTTGGTTGCCAGTAAACAAATGGTTGGGATTTTTCTCTCAGTATGGGTAAAGAGAGATCTAAGAGATGATGTTCACAACATGAAAGTTTCTTGTGTGGGGAGAGGATTGATGGGTTATCTTGGAAATAAGGTACATTTTTGCTTTAAGGGAAGTTTTTTCTGAGGTTTGAATGTGAAAATTAAGTAGTTAAGCAAAATGCAAAAATCTTTCACTTTGGTTTTGCAGGGTTCAATTTCAATTAGCATGTCTTTGCACCAAACAAGCTTCTGCTTTGTTTGTAGCCATTTAACCTCTGGGCAGAAGGAGGGTGATGAGCTGCGAAGAAACTCTGATGTCATGGAAATTCTCAGGAAGACAAGGTTTCCACAGTTTCATGACACGGGTGATGAGAATTCCCCTCAAACAATCCTCGAGCATGAGTAATGCCCCCATTTGCTGAATTTTGATTATGTCATTGCAATCTTTTTGTTTTGTTTGATTAAGGATCAATATTTAGAAGAAATTTACTCTTTAGCTTATATTTATCAAATTTTAGTGTATGTTTGTGTTGACATAGTCGAATCATTTGGCTCGGGGATTTGAATTACCGGATTGCGCTGTGTTACCGTTCTGCAAAGGCTCTTGTTGAGATGCGCAATTGGAGGGCTTTGTTAGAAAATGACCAGGCATGTCAATAAAACCCTTGCAAGGAAATTTAATATTATTTTGTGTCATTTTTATTGTATTTATTTAATTTGGGTGCAATGTGCTAAGAAAATCACTTCGTCTCTCCTAAACTGTTACTTTTAGAGCTGCTGAATTTGAATCTTTCATGGCTTTTCTCAGCAGCTTCGGATAGAGCAGAGTTGGGGACGTGTTTTTGAGGGATGGAATGAAGGAAAGATTTATTTCCCTCCCACATACAAGTACTCAAATAATTCAGATAGATATGCTGGGGATGCTATGCACCGAAAAGAGAAGCGAAGAACGCCTGCATGGTAATCTTTATTATTCTTTTCAAATAAAGTAACATAAGGGTGCTTTAAACTCGAGGAATTCTAACTCACACAAGTGGGAAAAAAATTGGATTATCGATCATACATGAACATTGTTCTGGAATTATTGAAATGCAAACAACTAATCTGATGAATTTTGTATGTAAAGGTGTGATAGAATATTATGGTATGGTAGAGGCCTTCATCAAATATCTTATGTTCGTGGAGAATCCAGATTCTCGGATCATAGACCAGTCTATAGTGTATTTTTGGCAGAGGTTGAGTCTATTAGTCGTAGCCGAATCAAGAAAAGCACGAGTTGTTCCAGTTCTAGGATTGAGGTAGAAGAGTTGTTGCCACACGCATATGGATACACTGACCTTAATTTCTATTAAAGAAAGGATCCAAATTCACGTAAGCTCTCTTTCTCTGTCTCTCTCCGTGTGTGTATATGTGCTTTTTGATGGTTCCTCTTTTTAAGATTCATAGCTTTTGTTCTTTAGGAATGATTTTGTCACCATGATACAAAGCAGTCATACAGGATACAGACTCTTTGGAAGGTCTTTTGCTGAGAAAGGGCCCGGTAACTAGTGAATTCTTTGACTGATTGCAGTTCCTTTTGTTTTGTTTTGTTTTTGTTTTTGTTTTTTTAATTGAATTGAAATAGGTTATCATGTACTATTAACAGGATTTGAGGCAAATGCCAAAAATGAGGAAAGAATTTCAACTTTGTTTACCAATTCAACGTGATCTTGCTACTCAGTCGGTAAGGTGACCACTTGACCCCTCCCCTGAATCTATCTCTTCCATTCCCAAGAAAGAAAAAGAAAAAAAGTTTTAAAATGAATTGGTGAGGACTACTCAAATTGTGGATGTGTTTTGGTCTACCCAATGTTGCTTTCAAGCTGAACAAGGTGGAGCCATGAGAACTTTCTTGTGGGCATTAAAACTTGTGGGTTATTTGAATTCAAGTTCCGCATTAAATGAGCAGAACTACTTCGGCATATTTCTGAAAGTGTTGTTGTAAATCAAATCTTTGTCTATTAAAGTTTTCAGATTGAGAAAATCTCTTGCTTATTCTTAATCTTTTTTTTTGGTCATTTGGTCTCCTGTTTTCAGGTTGTGCGATGAAACTATGGCTCCATGGTGAATAAGTGGTAGAGAAGTTAGTGGTTGGGGATTTCCATCTCCGTGACTTGAGGTAATTTTCGTCAATCAATTGGAGGCTGTCGACAACAGATTTGAAAATCAATTTTCCAAAATTATGTGCTTGCAATCTGAAGGTCAAAACCTTTTAGGCCAGGTTTGATTCACAAGATTAATAGTGAGGTATTAATAATCCTATCAAATTAGTGTGGTATTCACTATCCAATTGGATTAATAAGATAAATTATCTATTGGATTAATAATCTCACCTCTACCCCATTACTAATAATCCTACAAATTTGTTGGATTAATAATCCTAAACTAAAATGTTAAAACAAATATATGATAATTGTACCCACAGATTAATAATTCCAATCTCATACTCTAATCTATCCAATCAAATATGCCTTTATTTATTTATTTCTTTCTTTCTCCTACTTTGGTTTGTAAATTCCTTTTATGATTGTCTAATTTTTTTTTTTCCATGCATTTCCTCGTTTCAACAGGTACCAACTTGTAATTTTGTCTATAACTATTCTTTTCAATCACCAAGTCCTAATTGGCAAATCCGCAGTTGCTGGGTAGCACAAGCATTTGAAATCATGCTTTTGTAATTAGGTAAAAAAAATCAAAAGCTAGTTAGTTGATGAAATTATACAAAATGTTAGTTTATTTTGTCTGATTATTTTTTTTTATTTTTTATTTGTTATGGTTTTGCAGGATGAGCACACCTATAGCTGAAGTGCCAGTTGCCTTGGAGATCTAATTTAACCAAATTTCTTTTCATAAAAAAAAAAAAATGATAATTATAGAGTTATTTTTTATACTGAAATAAGATAAAAAGTTGACCATGTGAATCATTTAGGCATTCTTTTTTTCTTTCTTTTTCTTCTCTTTTACTGGAGGAAGAGAGAAATGGAGATGTGATGTACTCATCATTATAGTTTACGAGTGAAAAAAAAAAAAAATGAGTTGAATCTGTGATGATGGATATGAAGCTTCTTTTTGCTGCTGCTGTTATGATATGATTTTTTACTGAAAAGAAAGAAAAAAGGAGGTAATTTTTCTTGATGGCCTATACAATGCTCTGCCATTTTTCTCTCTCTCTCTCTCTCTCTTTTTTTTTTTCTTTTTTTTTGAATGTTGTGAAGAAAGCACATAGCAACTTTGATCTTTGAATTACATCTTCTCAATTCACACTATTTATTTACTTCACATAACATATAATTTGAATTTTTTTTTTTTTTTTTTTTTTTTTTTTTTTTTTTTAATAAAAATTTCTCAATTCACGTAACTAAGTTTTAAATAAAATCAAAATACTTTCTTCTCCAACTTTAAAAATTCTGTGTGTAACCCGCCACCCATTGCCACTACTCCCATGCAAATCCAACACCACAACCATCATCACTCCCATCCTCCAGCCTCCTTTGCCACTACAAATCCTCCTTTGCTATTGTCACGCGGGGGGATTTGAAGAGTGATTATTCAGTATTTTCGAAATATAGACAAGTAGTATTTCATAAAATTTTGATTAGTAGAGAAGGATAAAAACTTATGATTGATATTAAGGATGAGAGAATAATATGAGACTAAGTAATTAATGATTGGCTTAGAATATAATTACGTAGTGTTTTGGGGTCTCTTTCTCTTTTAGCAGTGGTAGACTAGACTAGGTGAATGGTTGGTTGGGTAGTGAAAGGATTGGTTAGTTGGTGGTGTAGTGGGGTGAAGTGGTTGGTTGGTGGTCTATTAGGGGTGTAGTGGCTGGTTATGGTTTGATTAAGATAGGAGATGAGGATATTTTAAATCACAACAATATCACATGACACACACACACACATATATATATATATATATATATTTCTAAATTGATAATTTTATTATATAATTCTTTTGCAATTTTAATTTATTACATTTTATTATAATATATTAATAAAAAAGAAAAATATATAAATAAATTTTTTTATTCACAGATAACAATTTTTATTATTAATAAAGGATGACATACAGAATAAACGACACAACTAAATACAAAAATAAATTAGATTACATTACTAAAAGGGCAAATTATTAATATGGATAGCTAAAGATTAGAACTTGTCAGGGTAAACTAAATTCTAAAAAATTAAAGAACAAATAATAAGAAAAGAAGCTAACTGAAGCATGTGTGATACCACAATTTCCTTAAAACAGATTCACCGCCTCTTGATGGATGCTGCTGGAGGTATGCCGATGTTTGTCTCCCAGGATACGACGATCGAAACCAGTTAATGCAGAAGCACCTTCTGACTAGCTTCGGAGAACTTGACAATGGATGCATTCTCTCTAACAAGAACAAAGAAGAGCCTAACAAAAGAAGATAGGAAAATTTTTCTTTGGTGTAAAAAATCGTCTCCAACTTTTTATCTCAAAACATCATCTCATTTTCCATCACAAAACCTTTCTAAAAAAACATTCTTCTTCCAAGTTGGAGGGGAAATGCCTCTATTTATACAAGTAAGGGAATCCCTAGCCATGAAGTCTATACATCAATAGGGCCACCAAAT